CCACTTCAGGGTATGACTGTGTCTGTGTTTCCATGTGTACGTTTTGGGCACATCCCTGCAAATGCACACAGCTGAACATCTCTGTCACACACGAAGGGCCCTGCCTCTGGAAGCGCAGCTTAGCCTCACTTGGGAGGTTTGAGGAAAGTACCCATTTCCTAAGCCCCGCCCACCCTGCTGAGTCAGAATCCCACCCTGGGACTGAGGGTGGAAACCCAGGTTTTAAAGTGATGCCCTGGGGATTCAGAGGCCTGTGGACAAGAACCGCTGCCCAGCCCCTGGAGTCCAGGCTGCCTTGTGAGACTCCCGCACACAGATGCCTGGGACCCAGGCCTGCTTGTGTTCTTGGCCTCTGCTCCCTGCTTCTCCACCCGCCAGCTCTGCACACGCCCTGCTGCCCCGCTCCCACCCCCATTGCTTTTATCCAGGCACCTGCTGCTGTTGTCTCCTCTGGGAAACAGGTCCCTGCTGGCCATGGGTCCCCCAGAGTTGGCTTAATGCTCTGGATAAATCCCTCCTGGCTGCTCTCCTCATGCTACCTGGGTGAATTGTGGCTGGTGAATGATGGTGGCCAGGGAAGGGGAACAGGGAGAGCTGCTGAGACAGGGTAAAGGTTGAGCTCCTGGGCTGGGCACACAGGCTCGCGCTGGGCATTGGAACTGTGCCTGACACGGGATAGGCATTCGATAAATATTATCTTAAGCATTTGTTGAATGGGAACTGTGAGAGTGGCAGGTGAGGGCCACTTCTGGAAACAAAGTAGGTTGGCCGGCTTCGGTGAAAGACTGAGAAAGTGCCTTCCCGGTGAGGTGCTAGTGCTTTCCTGCACGATTTCATTTCAGTATTTCATGAGCTGGGGGCAGTGGTGCCAAAGTAATCCCTCTTTCACAGTATGGAAACTGAGTTCCAGACAGAGGAGGGGACTTGCCAGGGTCACACAGCCAGGAGGTGGTTCTGTGGGGCAGAGCCTGCCTAAAGGGCGAAAACATGATGAGCCTGTGCAGAGCCTGCTGTTGACAGAGCACTCGCACACCCATGATCTCCCTCAGCTGGCACGTGGCTTGGAGGCGTGGCTGTCCCCTTCCACCTGTGCCCGTGTCCTTGGTCAGAAGACCTGCACCCGAGGGTACCCTGAGTCTGTAGGGAGCTGTGGTGAGAGGAGAACCTCTGCCTAGGCTGATGGGAGATGTAAATGAAGCGACAGTGTTGGGGGCTCTGGTGTCCATAGATAAGGGTTGGGGAGCACTGTGGACAGTGGGGGCAGAGCCAGGCCTGAGCTCAGGCGCCACACAGTTTGGCCCCATCTGGCCATTGGAACAGCCCAGTACCACCTTCCGTCTTTAAGCTGAGGCCCACAAAGTGCAGGTGACCCGTCCAAGGTCACACCCTGCTTGCCCAAGGTGAGGAGCAGAGGGTGTGAGGCTCTACCACAGCCAGGAAGGTCAGGGGAGCCTGGCAGGTGGGCTCTGGCTGTGCAGAATGATGCTGTTAGAGTCACTGAGCAATAGGGGACTGGCCCCAAAGGGNGCCGCAGCCGCAGCCGCAGCCGCTGCCGCCGGAGCCCGGGATGGGGCGAGAGGCTGCGGCGGACGCCAGCATCTCCCCGCCGGGGGCCCCGGGGGCCGCGGAGCCGCCGCCGCCGCTGCTGCCGCCGCTGCTGAGACCCAGCGGGCGATGGGTGAGTTGACCCTGGCGTCCTGGGGGCCTGCGCCGCAGCCCCTCCATCCCGCACTCCCAGCCCTCCGCCTCCATCTCTGCACCGCCTCCTCCGTGCTCCAGGCGCCCCCAGTCACGGCTCCCACTGCCCCCTCCCGGCTCCCACCGCCCCCTCTAGGAGCGTGACCTCTGGGGCCAGGGACGGGAGCACTGGGTTGGGGGGCTGGGTGGGGGGCCGAGATAGGGGCAGGATGCAGGGGTTTTGGCGCCCCCTCCCCCAACCGGCTGTTCAGCGGAGCTTTCCCTGGCCCCGGAGGGCAGAGCCTCATCCCTCCGACCCCACTTCCCCGGCCCGGGGTGGGGGTTGGGGGGGGGAGCCACGGGACTCGAGCCCTGCTTTGTGCGCTGCGCCCCCCACAAATCTCCGCTAGGCGCGGGGCGGGAGGTGGGAGGCCTCAGCGTCTGCCTTCTCTCGACCCCCGGCTGCGGCGGTGGCTGAGGCCCAGGCGCAGTCCGGGTGCTGGGGAGGGCGTAGGGACCAGACAGTGGCTGCCAGTGGGGACCAAGCACAGGGGAGTTGGGAGAGAACCCCCAACCCTTAGGGGGGAGGCTCCCGCCTTTTCCACTGCACTGCCCAGGACGGGGGAGGGAACCTTGGCTGGGGGAGGGCGCTATAAATATCTGCAAATAGTGAGTTCTGGAACGGGAGGTGGAGAGGGGCGCGAGCCTGAGTGGATGTGGGGTAGTGGTGGGGTGTGCCTGAGCTGGGGTGCCAGGAGAAGCGAAGATGGGTCTCAGCCAACCTTGGTGGCTTGAAGTTGGTTGACTTTCCTAGCTCTGGAAGATGCCCCAGAAGGCGTGTGGGCAGCAACACTATCCCAGTGAGACCCCTGCGTGGTCCCCCAGGCCTGGCACGCTCCACATCCCCATAGCACTCCTCTTCACTCCCGGGACACCAGTCAGCATCTGTCTTGATGGGGGAGTCATGGGCACTGGTGTGTCACCTCCAGAGGCAGTTACTAAAGATCCAGGCACGGGGCCAAGCATGAGGATGGAGGAAGGAGCAAGACACCACCTCCCCCAGCCCACCCGGCTGGCAATTCTGTGGAGTAACTAGTGCTTCCTCATGCTGGGGAGATAGGCACAGAGTCTTAGGAAAGTTCGAAAGAGGGGCTGCCAGCCCAAGGGGGAGAGAGAATTTGCTGGAAGAGATGATGTCAGGAAGCTGGAAGAGTTTGTTCACTGGGTATAGAAAGTGCGAAGGGCATTCTGGTCAAGGGAATGGCATGAGCAAAAGCCCAGAGATGTGAGTGCCTGGTGTGTGTTGAGGGATGGAGATGAGGAATGGTGACGCGCTGCAAGTGGCCAAAATAAGATGCTGGACGAAGAGGGGAGCCAAGGCCAAAGGGAAGGAGGCAGGTGGTGACAGGTGGTAGGCCGCACTGGAGAGCTGGCACTCGGTCCTGACAGGGCTGGGAGTGACGCTGGCTGGCTCAGCGACGTCCCTTCTGAGGGTCTGTCCAGCGCCCCTCAGGTGGTCAGGGCTGCTTGACGCACACTAGTGATCCCTTTTCTGTGGTAGTTGGGCCACCTCAGGCACAGTCTGTTCTCTGAGCCTCAGTTTCCACATCTGTCAAATGGGGAGAATCTTCCACACAGTTGTGGAGAGGACTGCAGGAGATAATGCATGTAGGGTGCCCGTGAGAAGTACTCGGGAAATGACTGGCTGCTGCGTTGGTATTTTTACCTGTAAAACAGACATCGATGCCAGCTGGCAGGCCAGGCTCACTTTACAGGGTGGTAGCGTGAATCATGTGAGGGTTGGAAGTGACCCGGAGGGAGCCGGAGGCTGGGGGAACTGAGTGTCCAAGTCCTCCTTCTAGGAGGAGAAGAGAGGAGCAGAGACGAGCGGCTGGGGGCAGGGTAGTTTGCACAGCCTCCTGCCCCTCTAGGCACTCGCCACCTTCTGGCCCCCAGCCATGGCATTCAAGGGACCCTGTTCTACTTCCCAAGGCCAAAGCCTCTTTGTTCCCCATACCACATGGTGCCCCCAACCCCCACCCTAGCCAGCTCTAGTGGTACAGGGGGACCAAGGCTTTCTTCCAGACATTCAGACATTCAGTTTCTTCAGACATTCAGGTCAACAAACATGATGTCCTCTCGTGAGGGGCACGGTGCTGGGCAACCAGGTGGAGAGGATGCGAACCCTGCCCTCAGGAGATTAGAATCTAGTTGGGCAGCACATATCACTGGACACCCATGGTCTATCTACCCCGCCCTGTGCTGGCTGCTTGGGGGCAGAAGGAGAGTCACAATTGTGTCATAAAGCAGTTAAATGCAGAAGTAAAAAAGGAAGGATTCCAGATCCAGTGGCCCCGGTTCAAATTCTGGCCCTGCCACTTCTTACTGTGTGACTATGGACTAGTGACTGTGCCTCTCTGTGCCTCAGTTTCCTTGTGTCTAAAATGGCAGCGATGCACACAATTGCTGTTAAAACAGCTTGGTTCAGTTTCCGGTGAGCTTTCACTGCTATCCTTCCAGAATGAATCTCCTGATTGCCACCCCTGCCTCCTTGGAGACCACACAGCCTGTCCCACCCAGTGCATGTGTTTTCCACATCCCTGTTGTCTTCCCCATCTGTCTGTGAGTCCCTGTGGGCAGAGGCCTGCCTTTCTTTGTGCATAGCTCAGGCAAGGGGGCAGAGGTATGCTGGCACCTGGCTCTCTGATCAGCAGTGTTGGCCAATTTCTGTGGTGTAAATCTTCCCAGCAGGGCCCATTTCAAACTGCCAACAGCTTAACGATCTCAAAACGGGAGTGGGTGCATGCCAACTTCAGCACCCAGGCATTCAGTAGGTGCTTAATAAATGATGGTTGAACAAGGAGGAAAGGGACTGTCGGTCAGATGGACTTGGGGAGCTGCCAGGCCACACTGTAGCTGAGAGGGGTTTGCAGGGGTAGGTACTGGACAGGCTGAAGGCGGGGCCAGAGACTACCCTGAATAAGTACCCAAAGTATGACTGAGAGCAGAGGGAACGGAGGGCTGGTGTCTTCCTTTCCTGGGGCTCCACACCTCTGACCCTGCCTCACTCTTGAACCTTTTCTCCCAGGGACTTCCTTTGACCTTGGGGTTCTGCACAGAATGGTCTTGCTGGACCTGAAGCTTTAGTTTAACAGAGCTCTCAGATGTGGTCCAAACAAGCCCCAAACCCCAAATTCTATTCTTTTGCTCTCTGCCTGAATGGCTCTTTCACCCATCCCTTCCTCTGTCCTCTGAAACTGTCACCCATTAAAAGCCTCTTCCATGATCCCAGCCATCCACCCCACATCATACAGACCCTCCTCCCGCTTCTGCTGTGGCCCCCAGCCTTCGAGCCCCCCTCCTGCACCTGCCTATAAAAATATTAATAGCTAACATTCCTTGCATCTCTACAGCAACTCATGGCAGAGGTACCATGAGAACCCCCTCTGCAGTTGAGCAAGTCGAGGCACAGTGTCTTGTTAGCGTCAGCCCGGTGCCTTACATCTTAGCTTGAGCATAGCTCATGCAGGGAAGCCCGCGTGAGTCCTGGTCTCCTTGCTGTTGGCTCTCAGAGCACCGTCCGTCCCTGTTTCTTTAGTGTGTTTGTTGTTGCGTGGTTCCTACTAGACTGTGAGCTCCACAGACCTACAGGAGCTAAAATGAATGAGTGAGTGAAGGAATGATTTTCAGCCCAAGGGAGCAGTCCTGCACTTTTGTCCATGCCTCCCCTTTGTCCGTCCCTGATGAAGGAGACTTACCCTCCAGAGGGCAGCCTCAGGCTACAGCAGGATGGTCACCGGGGCCCTGCTTGTGCCCATCTCTCAGAAGGGGAAAGCAAGGCTGAAGGAGGGGCTGGAAGCAGGACTGGAGGAAGAGCAGCGGACCACCCTCTCATGGTCTAGAATGGGCCCCAAGGCCCTGCCCATCACCCAGGAAGCTAACAGGGTCCCAAAGTGCTTTTCCTTGCGCTGCCTGAAATGGAAATTTCCCTGTTGGAATGGAAATTCCTCACTTATTTTCATCTTTTCTACGTAAATAAAATTGGAATAATAGGAATCCTTCACACACCTAATTACTCTGCTGTTTTAAAATTTTAAAGCTTATTTGGCTTAAGATTTTGGAATTCCCCCGGGGGTGGGGTGGTAGGTTGGGAGCCAGGACCAGGGAGGCCAGCAGACCGGAACTGTGCTGACAGTGGGGCCTCCTTAGGGCCTGCCCTCCAGCTGCCCTCTTGGGCAGGCTGGGAACTTCCCAGAAGGAACAGCACAGATGGGGTCTAAGTGATGGGGGGAGGGGGGGCAGGGGAGGCGGTGCAGCCAGAGGCGGGCTCCAGGATCGTGGTTGACAGAGACTGTGATGGATGACTTTCCAGGCTGTTCTCCCGACCCGACTTCCAAGTCATAATAATTTGCTGCTATTTATCGAGCACTTACTATGTGCTGGGCGTTGGGCCAAGCACTTTGTCTGTATTATCCCAGTGATGCCTCCTAACTTCCCTAGAGGTACATACGTTGTTTATCCCCATTTGGCAGTTTGAGAGGGCCTGGGACCCAGGGCTCAAGGCTGGGCAGTGGCAAGGCTGGGATTGTATCCAGCCTGTAGAACCCCAGAGCCTGATGGGGCTGCCTATGTAGGCCTCCTGGGTCAACCAAAGAAGACCACTCTCTGAGGCTTGGATGCCTGAGACAGCCACTTCACTCATTTC